TTTTATGTTTTTGGAAATCCCTTTAATGTCTGGCTTAATAGAGGACTGTTTCTCATGCTTTAAGCTTTCTTTCTCTAACTACCATGTAAGTTGTCTGTGAGCACAGCCAGTGATATTTCTCTTGGGCTTACTCCAGAGTAGAGCACGGATAAAGCACTCACAGCTTTGGATTTTGCTGAAAGCCTGTTTCCTCATTTATAAATGGGAGAACACTGTGTTGAAAAGACAGAGAGAATAAGATAATGTATGTAGGGAGCCCAGTACACTGCCTGGCATAAATCCTGAGTGACTTGAGAAAAGGCAATGAGCTGTTGTGATTTATTTAAAAGTAATCTTTCCATTTGTATGGCTAACAACAACAAGCGGAGGCAGAGATCAGAGAGGCAGTATTCTAGGAGCATAGACAGGATGGCGGATTGGACTAGGGCGGTAGAGACAGAAATGGTGAGACAGCATCAGACAGATCCCACAGTTTGCTTAGGAAAAACCCAACTAATTGAGAACGGAATGCATAACAGAATTTGTTGAGTATGGCTTTTCTGATGATAGGGTTTGGGCTAACGTTTCTATAGGATGAAGATGCAAAGGAGGAGCCCATAGCTAATGGCAGCTGTAGAATACGGACGGCTGCAGAGAAAGGAACCCAAGAAGATGGTCAGTACTGCCTGACTGATGCACTATATGATAGGTTTAGAACTCTTCTTCCTCCCACCGTAGACTGTGAACTCCTTAGGGGTAGGGACTCTATCTTTGCCTTCCCAAACTCCTTCCACAATGCCTGGCACAGGAAAGGCATGAAACAGATGTTTGCTGAATCTAGGGCTACAAACTGGTTCATTCCAGTTCAACCCCCTTACTGAGAATTTGCATTTCCACACCAGATATACTGAATCAGAATCTACATTTTAACAAGATCTCCAGATGATTCTTATGTACACCATATTTTATGCAAATAATGCACATGCTATGCTAGTGTTTTTATAAAACCAAAAAAACCAAACCTGTTTCCATCAAGTCGATTCTGACTCATAGCAACCTTATAGGACAGAGTAGAACTGCCCTATAGGGTTTCCAAGGGCCAGCTGGTGGATTTGAACTGCCAACCTTTTGTTAGCAGCCAAGCTCTTAACCACTGAGCCACCAGGGCTCCTAAGTTTTTACAGCAACATGTTAAAAAAAAAATCAGTATAGTGGGGCTTAAGAAAATACCTCATGGCAGGGGAGGGAGCAGTTGGCAAACAAACTTAGAAGGCACACGTTATTTGTGTAAAAATATAGTAAAAAAGAATCACCTGGGGATATTGTAAACTGTAGATGTATACATAAGAATCACCTGGGGATCTTGTTAAAATGTAGATTCTGATTCAGTATATCTGGAATGGAAATGCAAATTCTCAACAGCAAACAAACAGGTTCAAAGCCCTAGCTGAATCAATGAATCCTTCACTCCAAAATAGTACCATTTTCCTACTTCTAGGACGTTGGGGATATGACCAGCGGCTCCTCAGGAGAAAGATGTGGCAGTCTGCTTCCATAGAGATTTACAGCCTCAGACACCCCATGGGGTCACTATGAGTTGGAATCGACTTGACAGCAGTGGGTTTTTGGGTTGTATGATGGCATCTTTAGATTTACTCTGCTGTAATCCTAAAACCACCTTTAATTTCTAAGCATTCCAACATTTCATCAAATTCGTTTTCCATCATGTTCTCTCCTTTCTCATCCGTTCATTCAACCAATAACAACACACAGTAATGGTTTGTGTCCTGTGCTAAATGCAGATACAGTAATAGAGAAATATGGTCCCCGCCCTCACTGCACTTACAACGTGCACTGTCTCTTTATACCAGGGGATTACAAATTGCACAATTTTCAGTAATGGTTTCTTGTGCTCAAGGATGTTTATTGGAGCACATAGATGCTGGGCTTTCCAGATCTGTTGAGCTGTGTTCTAATCCTTGTTCTACTTCTAGCTCACAGGCACAAGGAATTTACTTCTTCTCTTTGAGCTTCAGGTCCCTTATATCCGCAATGGTGTAGCAGAGCCCACTAGCTGCCCACCTCTTGTCCTCCTTCCCCTTCTTATCAGGGTGACACTGCACCCAGCTAAACATCTGTGTTTCCCAGAACCCCTTGCAGTAATCATGGCTTAGTCCTGCTAGATAATAAGAGCAGTGTTATATGGGACTTCAGCGAAAGCTCCTTAAAAGGCACTAATTCAACCGCCACTGCACCCGTTTTACCCTACACCCTTTCCTCAACTTCATGTTGCCTTGAATCCCAACACCTTGGACTATGAGAAGCCTTGAGGCCATGATGGTGATGTAAATCTCGGAGTCTGAGTTTCTGATGACCGTGGCCCTTGAGCCTTGGACTCCCTACTTCCCGCCACCTTTTACACCCTTTAAAACTATTGTCAGAAATCACATCTCAGAACAGTTAATAGACTGCTATGGCAGCTTAGGAGCCTTGGTGGCACAGTTGTTAAGAGCTACGGATACTAACCAGAAAGGCTGGCAGTTCAAATCCACCAGCCACTCCTTAGATATCCTATGGGGGCAGTTCTATTCTGTCCTATAGGATTGCTGTGAGTCAGAATTGACTCAACGGCAATGGGTTTTTTGGTTTATGGGAGTTTTACTGGAACTCTGGTGGCGCAGTGGTTAAAGTGCTCGGCTCCTAGCCAAAAGATTTGCAGTTTGAAACCACCAGCAGCTCCTCGGAAGAAAGATGTGGCAGTCTACTTCCATAAAGATTTACAGCCTTGGAAATCCTATGGGGCAGTTCTACTCTGTCCTATAGTGTCACTATGAGTTGGAATCAACGGCAACAGATTTGGTGTTTTTTTTTTTGTATAGCCATGTTGTTCCTTTGTGCTGTCGAGTGGATTCCAGCTCACAGCGACCCTACAGGGCAAAGTGGAACTGCTCCGTAGGGTTTCCTTAGGCTGTAATCTTGATAGGAGCAGATCACCACGTGTTTTGTTGTTGGTGGATTTGAACTGCCGGAACTTTCGGTTAGCAACTAAGTGATTAGCCATTGCACCACCAGGGCTCCTTTCCAGTCACACCTAATCCTAATTGATACAGCTGGGGACAATACCACCAGCCCCAGAGAGTGGGTCTGAGGATCAGCAAAAACCCGCTGCCATCGATTCCAACTCATAGCGACCCTATACTATAGCAAAGGATTTGTTAAGTATCTAGCAGCTAGATGCTCAGGCAAGAACTATTAAGTCTGGTCTCAACCAGATTAGATAAGCAAGTGAATCCAAGGCCTTTTGTATCCCACACACTAGTAAACAACAGTTTTATTGCTCTTTTATCCATAAAGCAGGCTTGATGGAAAGTCTTCTATCAAATCCTTACTTGGCTTTCTGAGTTGCCCAGAAGAAAGCTAAAAATGTTTTTAGCTTCCCTGCATGTACACCTAGTTCCACCTCTCTGATCTTATTTTCCTGAGAAAGTAGCTTCTGAACGTTGATACTTAGTTTCTTAGTGCCGCTGTAACAGAAATACAAGTGGGCAGCCTTAACAAATAGAAATTTATTTTCTCACTGTTAGAGTCTAGAAGTCTGAATTTAGGGCACCGACTCTAGAGAAAGGCTCTGTCAGCTCTGCAGGAAGGTCCTTGTCTCTCTTCAGCTTCTGTTCCTGGGTGCCTTGATGATCTTCATGGAGCATGGCATCTATCTTCCCCCACCTCTGCTTGCTTCTCTGTGCCTGACCTGCTCTTTTACATCTTAAAGGTGACTGGTTTAAAACACATCCTATACTGATACGGCATTAATAAAAACTATTCCCAGGTAGAATTACACCTAAAGGTGTAACTTCAACACTGGTGTGTTTAAAAATGGGATGTATTACATTTGTAAAATGCTTTTCATGCACTATCTCATTTAACTCTACAACCCTATAAAAACCAAAAACCTGTTGCCGTCTGGTCGACTCTGACTCATAGCGACCCTACAGGACAGAGCAGAACTGCCCCATAGGATTTCCCAGAGGCAGCTAGTGGATTCAAACTGCCAACCTTTTGGTTAGCAGCCTAAAGCTTAACTACTGCACCACCAGGGCTCCACACAAAGGTACACGGGTTAGGATTCCAACACATATTTTGGGGGGATACAAATCAATCCATAACAGATACCCAGGGGAATCTGTGTGTACTCACTACTCCTGCCAGATTTTCTCTAATAAATACTATGAATGTGCATGCCCGTTTACATCCCCTCTCCACAAGCGAGCTCAGATAGAGTATCCTTTTACGTCCAATTTTTACAATGTTAAAAATTGCAATAAACAGCTTTTCCTGTCAAATGTTTTCAGTCTTAAAAAAAAAAAGAGGCAAAGGTCCCCTTCCTGGGTAATTTAAGCTATCCTCCTACAGAAGTAAAACATGAGGAAGACAGCTGTGCTCTGAATCTGCACAAATAGAATTTTGTTGCTCAGTATAGTCCCAGGAGGTGAGCAAATAGTTTATTCACTGACAGTTCTTTTTAGGGTCTGGTTTCTTATTCAGGATTTCAAGTAAACCCCACATCCTTTCAAATCACTGACTGAAAACGCCCTGGGTTTAAATCTCTGCTCTAGGACTTCCTCACTCTGTGACATGGGCATGTTACCAGACCTCCCTTGTATCTCGTTTTTTCTCATCTGTGATATGGAGATAACACACCTACCTCATTGGGTTATTGTGAGGATTCTAGAATTTAATAAATGAAAACATTGAGAACAGTGCCTGGCAAATATTAAGTCCTCACTAGTTAGTTAATACTATTCCTTTGGGGCTGATTCATTTTGGAGACTATGTACCTTGTCACCATTACACAAACTGATTTAAGATTAATCACTGAAGGACCCAAAACAATTATTAACATTGAGAAAATATCGATATTACTGTGCGCCAATTTAATGGTTCAGTTCACATTAACAGCCAGAAAAGACACGTTTTTAGTAGCCACTGGGTTTATAATACATACAAGAGAGCCACACCAGAGAGCACAAAAAGTTGAATTTATTGTTTATGGCAATTGCATAGTAACTTTTAGTCTGTTCATGTTCCTAACATCACAAATCCGAAAATAAAATTTTGCTTCTCAATTTAAACTTATACTCTGAGAAGTGATTAGCTAGTTTTTTAAAAAATTAATCATTTATAGAATATCTTTAAAATCCTTGCCAAGCAAGGTATTAGCTTTATCTTTACAAATCTCTGCATAAAATGAAAAAATTAGGCATTTTTAAAATACCACCCTTTGTTTCATTTAGAAGATTTTCAGCTACTCATTCAAAAATTATTTTGAAGCTCAACTGTCCAATTTAAGACAGAGTAAAGGAACTAAGCATTAGCCTCATCTTGACTGAACCTAAGTAAGAACTCGATCAGGGTCCGTGTGGGCCTCCCAGTCATGCCTTTCCTCAGGTATGGGACCTCATCCTTGTTGGTCATCACACCAGCTATGTCTAAATGAGCCCACTTTGAATGAGTCACAAATTCTTTCAGGAAGGCCGCAGCTGTACAGGCTCCTGCAGACCTGAAATGAAAGGCAAAGATCATTATTTAACCCCATGAAATGTGCACTGAAAACTTCATTAAGATCCTACATTTTTGTGAAGGAAGTTCTATGACTACTGAGCAAAAAAGTCAAGCTCAGAAGACCTAGTAAAAAAGTTAACCCTGAATCACTTTCTGAATACTTATTTTCCGATATGGCTTTCAGTAGTAAAGAATAAATTCTAGATTCCTTTTTCCCATGGTAATGAATTCACATATTTTCCATGTCTTATCCTCACCCTCTGTTTAGGAAGAATTTTAGATTTGTAAAAATGCAAAATGCTGACAGCCAGTCGGAGAAATACCTTAAAAATTAAAGACATTAGAAAATTGCAAGCACTACTTCTTACCGAAGGGAAATTAGGTAGTTAGCCCTTTTGTAAGAGGAAATACAGCAGAAAACAGCCACTCTGGCCACTAATGAGAATTTGAAAATGTACATTTGGCTCTTTTTCCATACCTGTATTTTCCAATGTTATTAACATCAGCAAGTTGACAATCTACAACTTGTTTTGTATAATGTTCAAAGAGAGGCATCCTCCAGACCCGGTCGCCTGTTTCAATGCTGGCCTAAAGGATAAATAGGTACAAGAGTTGTTAAGACTGGATGAAGTAGGTTCTCGGTAAATTTATGGCACAGACATGCTCGATGAATGAAGGAAAGAGCTATTCTAACATGTTACTCTAAAACATGAAACTATAAAACAGGTTCAAAGAATTATTTCCAGTTAATTACAGAATGATTTAAGAATTATAAAAGAAACCAGGGATATTGTGACGCAGTTCTACAAATTTGTAGGGCCATGTGCTAAAACCATCCAGCAAATGTTACTTGATATTTTTCCCAAGACCAACAGAAGTATTTCTGATTTTGATTTCCCATGTAGCTCTGCCTACAGGAAACCAAATAAAAGTATGTAATCTACTTTGCAGGCCTGAGTCTCAGCTGAACTTAATAAACGGGTATTCTGCCTTACATCAGGCTTTGTGGGTTAGATTAGGGTAAAATAGTCTTCGTGAGGGTAGTCACCTGGGTGTGCTGGTCAGACACATGCCAGGAGGTGCATCACTGAGGACCAGATCCAGGGACAGGCTGCCCTCTTTCATTCACATAAGCACTTACCCGTTCATTCATCCATTTATTTGTCATTTCCTGAGCTTCTACTAAGCACCCCCCAGGCGTTGGGGATATCAAAAAATTTTAATATATGAGCCATTAAAGGGCCCCCAGGCTGGCTGGAGAAACATACAGAAACAGATTGTTTTAATACACTGTGGTAAGGAGTCAAAGATACCGCTTTCACATTTCTCAAATGTGAAAAATCAAAAAGTAGCAATATAAGCAGTTACTCTGAGACATGGGAGTAAATATCAGAAAAATTAGCCAAGGGCTGAAAGAGGCTACCTCCAGGGAAATAGCTGAGGAGGTGCTTGTAGACTGTTGACTTTAAATAATGTTTATGCACGTCTAACTTTGATTTTTTAAAATAGCTTAAACTTAGAAAACAAATGCAAACCGACACACAATGATGTTCTGTGTGCCATGACAGAGAGGGACACTGGGTATATGGGGGGTGGGCCTTGTCCAGCCTGGAAGGAAACCGAGGGAGTGCCAAAGAGCCTGGGGAGGGGGGGTGGAGCTTCATAATGACCAGATGAGAGGAAAGGAGGGGAAGTGGTTATGGGTGAAAAACAAGTTCACTACCTTAGCTCGGCCCCAAGAATGTCTGCAAGAACATATGTAAACGCTATGTTTGTTTCCCACTGGCGCATAGCAGGCTCCCAGTAATTAGAAGTTGAATGAATGAATGAAAGAATGAGGCACCAGATGGAGCTGTCTACTAGCCAGGAGGACACACAGGGCCTGGAGCTCAGGAGAGGGACAGCAGTGGTCAGCAGAGAGGTGCTGTCGAAGCCATAGAAACAGAGGAGATTCCCCTGGGGCCTATGAAGAGTAAGAGAATGTGTCTGAGGACTGAACACCATCAACAAACGGGCAGGCCAAGGAAAAAGGCAGCAAAGGAGACAACCCGAACAGTCAGAGAAGAGAAGGCAACTGATGAGAACAGCATTGCAGAAGCTAAGGGAGGAGCCTCGCCAAGAGGGCAGAGTCCCATGCTGCTCCGGACAGGCCAGTACTTTAGGCAGAGAGGTGAGTGAGAGCACGGGGTGGGAAGGGGCTGGGGAGGGACTCTAGAAGAGCCTGACAGTGAAAGAACATGAAGGGAGGCACAGAGCCAGGCAGTCAGAGGACATCCTTACCCTGCATGCCGCGCTCCCAGGGCCAGGCTCAACCTCCGCGGCTTGTCTCGACTCAATGCACAGAGCTGGCCTTGTAACCTGTCCTACCTCAGGGATTCTAAACTATGGCCATGTTAGTTCTGAGTCACTTCCACATCTTTCTAAGGCTATCGGAGGAGAGTGGGAAGGTGGTGTCACACCCATGATTTAGGACCATTTACAGAAAACCCAAAGCACACTGAAATGAGTTTACGCTGGTGTTTATTTTCAACTCAAAGGTAAACTCACAGCACAAAAATCACTTTAACACAGGGGTTGAAGAAATGTATTAAATGTATTGAGGCTGCTGCTGTTGTGTGCCATCCAGTCAATTCTGACTCACAGTGACCCTACAGGACAGAGTAGAACTGCCCAATAGGGTTTCCTAGGCTGAAATCTATGGGAGGAGATCACCAGATCTTTTCTCCCGTACAGCCCCTGGTGGGTTTGAACCTCCAACCTTTCCATTAGCAGTTGAGCGTTTAATCATCGCACCATCAGGAATAGATTAATTTTCTCCCTGTAATTTACCTATCTTTATATTACTCCTACCTCAAACAGTTTGGTCCACAGCCAGGTGGAATTGGTAAAGATGCCCGTGGCACCAGACCCCAGAGCTATGTCCATGGCACCTGTAAGACACACACCGCAGGTTAATGGTCAGTCTCCTCAGGCAAAACAGGTTCCTCTGCTGCTCAGCCCAAAACCTTAGCCGTAACCCTACTCACAAATGTCACTCTCGTTTTCAAAAATAATAAGCAAGCTTAGATGTCCTTGCTGTTGTTAGTTTCCATTGAATCAATTCTGACTCATGGTGACCTCATCATGTGTGCAGAGTAGAACTGCTCCACAGGATTTTCACGGCTGGGATCTTTTGGAACTAGATCGCCAGGCCTGTCTCCTGAGGCACCTCTAGGTGGGTTTGGACTGCCAACCGTTCAGCTACTAGTCAGGTGCTTAACCATTTGTGTCACCCAGGGAAATCCTTACTATATACATTTAATAGCTTTTTATGTTTCTCAAGCTAGAATTCACCTTAAATTATTAAGGAAAATGCAAAAAAAGAAAATAGTAAAAAATGTGACCAATGATCTCATCCAGAGGTAGCCATTACATGTTTTCGCTATTTCCTTCCAGGCTTCTATACTTTAAAAAAAAAAAAAAAAAAAACATAATTAAGACCATACTGTATGTGTCCAAGTCTGTATCCTTCCTTTTATGCTTTAGTGAACATTTATTCCTCTTTTACAAACAAATGTCTGAAAATACTTTCAATGATTTTAAACTTGGTCCATTGGTCAGAAGCATCATAATTTACTACTGGGCATTTAGGCATCTCCTGTTTTTCAATATTTTTAACCGCATCTCAGTACATGTCTGCTACAAGACTTTGATGACTTTTTTCTAAGCCCATAACTACCATACTACATCTACTTTGTTTCATCTTCATTTCTGTCTCCAGCCAAAGGTGGGTCCCATTGCTGACTTTTTTTAAAATTAACATTATCATATTTTTAAAAATCCACTTTTTTCATATGAAAATCTACATTTGCAGGTTCTCTCTCATACATTACCTACATAGCAGCAATTAGGTACATTGTATGTAGCTTAGTGCTGCCTTTTCCAGATTTGTTGTAAGCTCCCGGCAGCTTCATTTGTTATTTGCCTGGCCCCACCTGTAAGCTTTGGGGCAGGAATTGTAAGCGATTCCTAGCCATACACCTGGGGCCGAGCACACTGCCTGGCACACAGGAGCTCAGTAAGTGTTTGTGAAAGAACAAAGTAAAACCCACTATCATTTAAGCATTCATATGGAGTATCAGAGGAGACACACCACTGAGCTTCCCAGCCACCACCCAGTACAAGGACACTCATATGGGACGTCAGTAAGGATGCCACTGAGCTTCCCCACCACTCAGTATGAGGACACTCACATGCAGTGTCAGCAGAGACACCATCTAGTTTGGGGAAATTCTACAGTTTCACAAGATGGAATTGCTATCTGTAACACAAGGTCTGTCAGGTTGCTCTTTAATCATTAACTGTGGCTTTACATGAAACTGCTTGTTAACAGTTCTCCCAAAGAATATTAAAACTTGAAGATACTACTATATACACTGTTTTGTAAACTGTGTAATTTAAATAATACACAAAACTTCCCCAGACCCTTACATTTCTCTGCAGTTGGAGTTATTAGAGGGTGTGTGGCCTCTAAGAACCCCCTGTGGCTGCATGTTTGTGGACAAACATTTGCAGCCATCTCTAATTTAAGAAGTGACACTTGGCTCCAGGCCTTTGTTCTGTTAATTCTGGTCAATCTCATCCGTCACACAGCACCACCACGATCGCCACAGATTCCTCCCAGGGAAGGGAGCAGCACTTCTTCAGTATCAGACAGCTTGTGCCACAAGGATGTTGGATGGTACATTTTTTACAAGAAATTACAGGTAAATTACGTTAATTATTAGTTCATAGTTAGTTATTAAATTGCAAAGATCTGACCATTTAAGACAAGTCACGATTTAGAAGCGTGCCCCATATGTAAAAACCTGGGCTTCTGAGTGCTGTGAGGGCAATCAGGTCTGTTTGGGCCACCAATTCCTCCACTTCCCAATTAGCCCTCAAATCCATCCCCACTTCTCTCCATCATGACTGCTACCATCATCTCCCAGCTGGACTATGGTAACATCCTTTTTTAAAAAAACTTATTGTGGAAGATTTCAAGTATACACAAAAACAAAGAGAATAACATAATAAACCTCCATGCAGCCAACACCCAACATCAACAATTATCAACTCATGTTCAAACTGGTTTTGCCCACAATCCATGCCCAAAAGATTATGTTGAAGCCAATACTACATTATACTGAGATATAATAATATTCATCCTTTGACATACACACACGTCCACAAAGAGTAAATAACTACAGCTGTGTACTAGTCTAACTGGCCTGCCTGCATCTACTCTGGCCTTTTTCCAGCCTATTCTCCACATTGCAAGCCCAGGCAACCTTTTCAAGGTACAATCATGGTTGTATCATCCCCATGCTTAATTAACCCTCTTCAACAGCTTCCCGCTGCTCTTTGCTCCAGACAAAAGTCCTTAACATGGCTGGTGCCTGGCGCCGACCTCCAGGCCGGCCTCACCTGCACCTGCCCAGCCACACAGTGCTCCTTCAGGTGCTCATTCACCCACTGTTCCCATGCCCCCACCACGAGGCCTTGACAGGTGTGCCCCCTGCTGGGACGGTCTTCCTTCCCTTCTCCACTTCCTTAATTCCTACTCCTTCCAGTCGCAGCTTCAGCGGCACTTCTCAGACAAGTATGCCCTGATGGCCCCGACTACACAGGCCCTCACAAACTCCTCTTAACTCTCCTCACTGTACCTGTCACCTGCAGCTTTAAATCGGCAGGTGTGATTACCTGACTACTGCCACTCTCTCCACTATGCAGGCCTCACAAGGGCAGGTCCACATCTACACTGACCCACCGCTAGGTCTCCAGCCATCAGCACAATCCCTGGAGCATAGCAGGAGCTAAACACACACACGCTTTGTCCACAATCACTCACTCAGCACCTTCTATGTACCAAAACCAAACTTGTTGCCATCAAGTCAATTCCAGCTCATAGCGACCCCACAGGACAGAGCAGAACTACCCCATAGGGTTTCCAAGGATTCAAACTGCCGTCCTTTTGGTTAGCAGCCCAGCTCTTAACCACTGTGCCACCAGGGCTCCCTACTATATACCGGATACAAAAAAAAAAAAAAAAACACTCCACAAATGAAACCCATTGCCGTCCAGTTGGTTCTAACTCATGGCTACCCCATGGGTTACAGAGTAGAACTGCTCCATAGAGTTTTCTTGGCTGTAATCTTTATGGAAGTAGACTGCCAAGTCTTTCTTCCATGGTGCTGCTGGGTCAGTTCAAACCACCAAACTTTGTTACTAGTTGAGCACAAACTATTTTCACCACCCAGGGACTTCTAGATACCATGACAGGTCCGGGTTATTCAATGCCTGTATCCCACCCATGTGATGGAGGGAAGTCATCTGAGTTATACAGATGCACTGATTAATACTTCAGAAAGAAATACCAACTCCCCTTTTCAAGTTAGTGGGTTTTCACATACTTATTCACTTGTCCTCAAAACATTCCTAGGACGGAAGAGGGAAGAGCTATTAACCCCCTAGAATTTTGCGTCAGTTTTTAAATTTATCATCGAAAAGATGAACAATAACCTCAAACAAAATTGTGGCATCTTCTCTTAAAGGAACAGAAACCGACAAATATTTAATGTGGTTGCATTAGGAACACAGCTGTGAGGTAATTTCACTGTAAAACCCAAAACCCACTGCTGTCGAGTCAATTCTAACACAGCAACGCTATTTCACTATGGACTTACGTTCAGAACTATTACCAGCACAGATTTCAGATTTACCACTAGCAGAGGCATGCTTTCCACTTTCACTTACAAGGCACATCTGGAGCCCTAATTAAGGTGCTAACTGATGAGCGTTACCAGAACTGATCATAGTCACAGAGTGGCATCCAAAGCTCCAAGTAATGATGTCACCACACTTGTTTGATCCTAAATTACAACTACATATTAAGAAAATGAAGAGAAGGGCCGTGAGTGAGTGGCCATCCCTGGGTGTGCCAATGCCCCTGCAGTCTGAGCACAGCCTGCCTTTAAAGGACAGTAACCTCTGTTCAGGGTTTGCTAGGGCCAGGGGCATCCACCTGCAGCGTCTCCTTTATCTGCACAGCAACCTGCCCTGTCAATTAGATGTGGTTACACCCTTTTTATACATAAGACAACTGAAGTCTTGTCAAAATCACGTTTTTAAGGGGGCAAAACAAGTTTTAAAATCAGGCCTTCCATCTTGGCGGTGTACTGCCTCCTGCCAAGAGCTCTTGAGGCTGGAACTATTCTTATTCCCCACTTTGAATCCCAGCTCCTGGACCTCAGAGGAGCTAGTCAGTCCCTGGGGAGCTTAAGTGAGCTGACCAACAGCCTCCAGCCAGGGCATGGGCTGGCCAATCAGAAGGCTCACCCATCACACTGCCCTTAGTTACCCGGGCCAACGTCCCCACCTCCTCACACCCTCAGAGTAGAAAAACAGGAACTTTTTAACAGAAGGGGCTGATAAGCCACTAGCGAAGAGTATTTTCCAAGTGGTAATTATGAAAATTATTTTTATCCTGGGAAACATGGATGTTTGTCTTCTGTGACTCCTCATGTATAGGAAGAGTACACTATCGCTCGCCTCTCAAGGGCTGTTTTGTGCCCCAACCACAACCCAGCACCCCGGTTCAGCTTCAAGTGTTTGCTGAACTGAACCAGGAGACAGAAAATCAAGAAGAAGCTATTGTTGCTGTTGTTAGCTGCCATCGAGTTGACCCCCGACTCACAGCAACGCCGTGTACAACAGAAGGAAAGGCTACCCAGTCCTGAACCATCCCTGTGATCAATTGCAGATCGCACCGTTGTGATTCACAGGGCTTTCGCTGGTTGATTTTTGGAGGTAGATCGCCAGGCATTTCTTCTAGTCTGTCTTAGTCTGTAGGTTCTGCTGAAACCCGTCCAGCATCCTAGCAACACACAAGGCTCCACTGACTGATAGGGTGGCTGCTCATGAGGTGCACGGGCTGGGAACTGGACATGGGCGGACTGGCTTAAAGGAAAGGACTCTCGCAGCAGAGAAATCTGTGGCCTATTGTTAGACCCACATAAAAGGGAAACGTGAACAGATTTCTTCTGAAGTACAAGCACAGATGACCAGGACAAGAATTAAAAGCAAAGGAGAAAAAAATGATCTGAATTTTAACCTCAAAAGAGGCAGAGATAAAATGAATTCCTAGGAAGAGGAGACGTGTTGGGAGAAAGATTATGAACACTGACTGGGTTTCTGCAGTACGGCCACTTCTGTCTGTCATCCCTTTAGTAGTGTATCTGGTGTCCACCGAGTCGGTGTTCAGTGAGCACCTGCCACATACAGGTGCTGTGCTAAAGGTGCTTTCCAAAACATCCCTCCAGTCTTCACAACTTTGCAAGGCAGATTATCCCTAAGTAGTGATGCTTGGGAGTCCCTGGGTGGAACAGTTAACACGCTTGACTACTAACTGAAAGGGTGGTGGTTCAAGTCTACCCAGAGGTGCCTTGGAAGAAAAGCCTGGCAATTTACTTCGAAAAAAAATCAGCCATTGAAAACCCTATGGAGCAGAGTTCTACTCCGACACACATGGGGTCGCCATGAGTCAGAGTCGACTTGACAGCAACTAATTTATTGATGCTCGCAGGGTCAAGTAAGTTGCCCAAGGATGACCGACTAGTAAGTGGCACAGTGGGAGTCACACCTGGGTTGGCCTTAAAGCTATGACTTCCACTCCCTGTGATGCTGTGCTGCCTCTGCTGAGAGCTCGAAAAATGTTATTTTTCCCTTTATAACATCAAGTATAAAAAGTACAGAAAAGTCAGTGGATGCTAAACACATTATAATCATTAAAAAGAAATTGCTGAGGTATAGGATTTATCATTAATCTCTTCAGATCTGAATCTATGGTAATCAAAACAGAAAATATCTCTTAATGCCATTTTCAGAAGTCCCCCTGGATGAACTGATCTGACTCCCTTGTTATTTCTTTTTTAAAAGTGCAGTCTGGAATGTTTTAAAAAAGCAAATCTAATACTCAAAACATCTTACAAGTGCAAAACAATTCCTTTGGTGAAATATCTCTGAATGCAAATAGAAAGAGCCAAGTTTTAGCAAAATAATGCCCTGGGTACAATCTGTGCACTCAAAGCAATAAATAAAACTTTCTTCAAACAAAAGGAGGAAAAGCGTGCTGTTTGACCTGTTAAGGTGGCGGCATTGATGATGAGCTTCGGATTAAAGGTGTGCGCATAGCAGAGCGCGTCGGCTAGTACGAGCCTCCCCTCAGCATCAGTGTTATCAATCTGCAAAGAAGAGGATCAAAAACGGGAAGGTAACACAAGTGATGAATATCAAAACCAATACCTATAACACTAGATACCCACACCAAAAACTCATACTGACCCCACATAACACAGCAGAACTGCCCCATAGCATTTTCTAGGCTGTAATCTTTATGGGAGCAGATCGCCAGGTCTTTCTCCTGTGGAGCCGCCGGGTGGGTTCAAACTGACAACCTTTTGGTTAGCAGCTGAGCTCTTAACCATTTGTGCCACCAGGGCTCCCCCTAACAATGTTCAATGTAAAAGCAAATAAAAAAAAGCCAGTGTGGTATTTGTCACTAAGTATTAAAAAACACACTTGTATTTAGTTCAAATTAATAAGAAAATATCTAATCTGAAGAATGATTATAATTTAATAATCCCTGTAACCAGAGCTGATACTTGCAAAAGTCACCTTAACGCTCATGACTTTGGAAGCTAGAATAAATATAAAATGTCTATTTTACCAACAAGTTTATAACAAGAAGAGGAAACATTTAAAGCTTTCTGAAAACAAACAGGCTAGAGAGTTTAAGGGTAGCCAGGGGTCTCTCGTCATGGGGACTCTTGCAACTACGGGGACCCTTTCTAATTCCATTCCCTTCCTTCTCAGAGGCCAAATCACTGTGGGCGGCGTATGCATGTGGGCACGTGTGTGCCGCAGGGGAGGATGCACTGCTACACCCCTGAGAGTGCTGAGTCCGTGACGTAGAGCACTGTTTCCCACCTGGACACCTAAGATGGAAAAAGTTAATATGGCACAGGTACACGCAGAAAACAGCCCACACTTTTACTGCTTTGCCACGCTCTGCAGGGCTGGCTGAAAAGTGACGGTAACGTGTGAGAACAGGCACACAGGAAGTGGGAGGAATAAGAAGGCAGGAATGACATTAACATTCCCATAAGGAAATACATTTGACTTTGCATGAAAAACTACTAAACAAAAAAGACACCACCTTCCCTAACACGGGGCCACTGCTCTGTGCCCACTCAAGGCATGTTTACGTGGCGACTATGGGATCCCTCAGGAATGCGAAATGGGGAGTGCTCTATGTCTTCCATTTACAAACCTGTATGGTCTTTCCATTCTTGGCTCGGATGACATCTCCTGGCTTGTTGGCCTTACCGCTGGGCATATTTTCACAAAGAGGGGTCAAACCTATTGGGAAAGAATATATGCACAAAAATGGAACGTGCTGGGTCCAAATACACCCCTGTAGGACAGAAGGACTCCATGCACTCAAAAGCATGCTGGACACAGATGCCACCTAACCAAGTGATCAAATTTAATGCCACCAATGACACAACCAACATGATGTGCACCAGCAGCTGGAGTACACACCACCTATGCAGCATTCTCACCAAAGAAGTCTAACCTGATTTTAATCCTGAAGAGACAATCAAATATATCCAAATGGTGAAACATCACAAGACAAGCCTGGACCCTTCAAAAACTGGCAAAGTCAGAGACGGGGGGAAAAAAAGGCAGGAATATGGCTCTAGATTAGAGAAAACTAAAGAGATGTAACAAAATGCAACGTGTGTTCCTGACTAGCTCCTAGATTTAAAACAGAAATAAATGTGTGTGTGTATAAAATGGACATTCCTTAGACACTGGGAAAATGTGAATTGGGTTATTCTCTCCATCCTTGGAATGGTACTGGTATTCTCATCACATAGACTGTCCTTGTCCTTAGGTGTTATAGGCAGAAGTATTTAGGGGGTGATGTGCCATGTCTGCAACTTACTTTCAAAGAGTTTAGAAAAAATAAAAAGACTATGATATTAAAAAAGGAAGGGGGAGTGTGATGGTTAATTTTACGTGTAACTTAGCTAAGCTATGGTTCCCAATGGTTTAGCCAGACACTAGTCTAGCTGTTGTTCTGTAATGTAATGACCTCCCACAGCGTAATCTAATCTAATCAACCCGTCAGTTGAAAAAGGGAGTTTCCTTAGACTGTGTTCTGCCTCCTGACTATAAACAGATATTTCAGCAGAACTCTGTCTCTTCACTCTGCCCTCTTACCATTGCCTGACTTATGGATCTTGGGACACAAACCTGCAGAAGATTCCAGCCTGCCCCCTGGCCTACAGATTTTGGACTTCCAGCCCCCCAAAATCGCATGCGCCAATTCCGAGAAGTAAACCTCTCTATGTATATATACAGCTCGTTGGTTCTGTTTCTCTAGAGAAGCCTGAGAGGGCATGTTAGACAGACCTGGATGCCAATTCTACCTTCCCTGTGCAATCGAAGTGACACTGGGCAAGTGGTTTAACCTCTCCGAGCACCCCACCCCCTCCAGAACACAGGGATTAGCAATGCTGTAACCTCCCAGCCCTGTGTCTGGCATCCCATAATACAAAGAGCATTGTGCACTGGGCGCTCATTCCATCCCAGGCACTTTCTGTGCATCATGCCAGTTAATCGGCCACGACCCGAGGAGGCAATCACTAACTGAGCCAGCCACGTCCTTCCACCCTGACGACTGAGCATCTTCCACTGGAGTAAAGCACACCCCTGACTGCTAACCACTTTTCCCAGAAGTAAAACAAATTAGGTCTAGTTACGGCCCACTGGATTAAAAGAAACTACATTTGTTGTTCAGTTTTACCATTTCACTTGACTCGAGAAACTCTCTAGCACACACTCCCTTGCCCCACTTACCTATGATATTAATGGGCAAATTAAGCTTTGCAGCAGACACAATGGCTGAGCATATGGTCGCAGCTCCTCCCATGTCAGCCCTCATGAGATCCATATTTGCAGAAGCCTTGATGGAGATACCACCACTGTTGGGGGCGAGGAGGAAAACATGCTTAACAGTAGCCAAGATGGCCAAAATCACTTCCTAAAAAGAATATGTAAGTTGAGATTACCACAGAAAAGCATCATTTACATGGCAAAGAAAACTGAAATTTCTAAATTTAGAATCTAAATTATCTCAACATTTCAAAAGAGAAAGTTGTAGCCTTATAAAAGACACAAAATCGTTCCAGAAATATAGACTCATTCCTCGGCTCTTTTTACTTCTACCTGAATAAAATGTAAGCGGTGCCACTGGTATCATTACTAACGCTGCAGTTTACGCAAATAAAGCACGTGTTCTACGTTTTTTGCCAACTGCACCCAGCACCCCCTCAGGAATTTCCGAAAGTGTGCTATGCTAACGTGTTAAAAAAAAAAAATTAGCATAGCACACTTATGATAATATCTCTTGGGGGGAAGGGCACGGTTGGCAAAAAACGCAGAACTCGTGCGTTACTTGCATAATACGGTACATCCGTCATAAAATCAATGCTGCTCAAATTTCTTCTCTGTGTCATTAACTCCTGATATCCCACATAAATCGCCTTTCCAGCAAATTGTATGAATCCATCATATTATTATTATATCTGAAGGTCACGAACTGTTAAGAAAGCTGACAAGCTCACAGAAGACTGGGTGCACTCTCTCAAACTCACAGAAGAACGGAGGGAGAACATTTCTCTCCGACACCCTGACTAAGTGTTACACAACCTGACAATGGCAAAATGCAACTTGAATCAGAGACAAGGAATCAGGCACAAGAAAGATACTGACCCAAAATCTCAGAGACAGTACTAAAACATGAGCGCCAAATAGATTTTAATTAGCAAGAAACACCAACTACTTCCTCCAAATGGGCTTCTATAACTAACTAGTGACTTTTCTGCTTCAGCTTTTAAGGGTCCAGAGCAGCTTGGTTTGCAGGCCAGGCTCAGAGCCAGGAGCTTCACTTTTGAGTTCAAACTGAGATCTACTGCTGACTCTTGAGAAGAGATTTCTATCCCCTGCTCTGAAGTCTGCTTTCCTTAGAAACCAGGTCCTATTTCTCACTTACCTCAGGAGCATTTGATAATTAGATGGCTGACATTTACAGCCAGAATTAAAGATTATTTACTGGCTCAAAATAAGAAAAGAAATACACTCGTAGTCCAAGAAGCCCATGGATAACCCCTGGAGGTAAAGGGAACATGCTGGTGTACATAGTTTCCCGTATCCACTTGTCACATCTATCTTAAGGCTTCTTCTGGGAGTTCTCCTCTCTGTCTGTAGGACTCTAATTCTGAAGTAACCAGCAGCCAAAGATCAGCAGTTATGTTTGCTAGTCTTTTAAATATCTCTCAAATCCACCCATTTCTTTTCGACTGTATCCAACCTAGTTACCAGCATCTTTCATTTGGATGTTTGCCACCACAACCTCCTTACAGGTCTCCTTACTGCTCTATTTCATTATCCACACAGCTAACACAGTTTTACAACAACAACAAAAAAGATCTCAATTAAATCCCAGGAGAAAATGACAACCAATTTCTAAAATTTATGTGAAAATGCAAAAAACCTAGCCAAAATAATTTTTAAAAAGAGCAAAGTTGGAGGACTCCTACTTCTTGATTTTAAGACTTAAACAGTAATCAAGATACTTGGTTACAAGATACTCGTGAAAAATTGTGATTTTCAATGAAGATGCCAAGGTAGTTCAATGCAGAAAGAGTAGTCTTTTCAATAAACAGTGCTGAAACAAATCAATCTCCATATAGGGGGAAGAAAAAAATGAGCCTCAATCCTTTTCTCACACCATACACAAAAATTCAAAATGGATCACAGCCTTAAAAGGTAGAACTATAAGATTTCTAGAAGAAAACACAGACCATGGCATAGGCAATACTTTCTAAGAACAAAAAAAAAAGCATGAACTGTAAAGTAAAAAATTGATAAATTATACTTCATCAAAATTAATAACTTCTGCCCTTGAAAAGACACCACTAAAAAAATTAAAAGACAAGCCAGACTGGGAAAAAATATTGGCAACCTATGTATCTGACAAGAACTTGTATCCAGAAGGTAAAAAAAAAAAACTCAGTAAGACAAATATTCCAAAAAAAAGAGCAAAAGATTAAACAGACACTTAACTAAAGAAATTATATCAATGACCAATAATCACATTAAAATAATGCTCAACACCACTGGTTATTAGGGAATGCAAATTAAAACCTCAAAGAGATACCACTATGCAACACACTGGAATGGTTAGAAAGGCTGACAACATCAAATACTGAACAACTAGAACCCTTATACATTGATGGTAGGAATGCAAAATGGTATAAACACTTCGGAAAAATCTGTTGTTTTTTATAAAGTTCAACATGCAGTTACCAAAAAACTCACCCACTGCATTCCTAGGTATTTACCCCAGAGAAATGAAAACATATGTCCACAGAAAGAATTATAGATGATCCTGGCTTTACTCATAATAGCCTAAAACTGGACACAACTCAACTTTCCATCAACTGACAAATACATAAACAAATATCAGTATATCCATACAATGGAGTATCACTCACTGATAAAAAGAAACAAATCACGGACGTGACCAAAAACTTGGATAAATCTCAATGCTATTGTACTGAGAGTAATGTAGGATGGAAAGATAACATGATTTTAAAGACAGTCCTGAGTTTGACTTCCAACTCTGTTAGCTATGGGACCTTGACCAAGTTATTTAGCCTCTCTGAGTCATGGTTCCTTTACCTGTAGAATGTCCATAAAACCTACCTTACAAGAGTAGTATGAGGACTAATATACATAAAATGCCTAGTAAAGTCTCTGACACACAGAAAGCATTTATAAGTGGGAGCTTAATACATGGAAAGTAAAAGATATGACCAACAACCCTGCTTTTGAAGCAAACTCTGCACCCAATAAGACGAACGCATACAAAGTATTCACCAAAAGACAAAGCACAAGTACTAGAAAGACGTACCTGTCAAAGGTAATTCCCTTCCCAACAAACACCAGCGGGGGTTCACATGCATTGGGACTGCCCTTGTAGTGAATTTCCAAGAAGACTGGAGGCTCGTCAGATCCTTTGGCCACACTTAGGAATGATCCCATTTCCTGTTCCTCAATCCAAGACTTGGGTCTGTGGGGCGGGAAAGGGGAAAAAAAGTCAATGTATTCTGTTATCTTTATTTCAGAATAACTTAGAGAAAGCCCATCCATGTGTGTAACAGTATAATAATACACAACCTCTTAAAATATAAACACATGTTAAGGCTTCAATTATCACATCCTACTTGCTTTCTGTATATTCCTGGGCAAGTCACTCAATTCTGAGCCTGATTCCTCATCTATAAAACCAGGTCAATGACAATTCCCATCAAAAGATAACCTACAGAATTACTAAGAGAATTCATGAATGGTATACCTAATTCACTGGCAGGCAAGAGTACGTAGCCAATCAATAATTATTACTTAATTTTTTTCTAACCCACTCATATATTTCCAAAGTTTTAACTTACAGCTGAGGTCAGCAAGGTTCTGAGACCGTAAAGTGTATTTAAAGATAATTAAGAGGTCCATTGCTTTATTTCTGGTATATCTAAAAACAAACAAAAAAATAAAGCTACACTCCACTGTCTGTGCTAAAATACCCTATTTCTTTGCTTTTAAGGAGAATTCTCTCTTCAGTGTGGTCACATGGTTTCTCCTGGTTTCCAGAGCAGTTTGAGATGTTTCTGATTGAAGTAGGAAGACTAATTCATTCTTACTTAATAAATGCAGGACAAATGGAGCTAATACAAGGACGGTCCTTGGTGCTAACCAGAAAACTGATGCCCTGTTGCCATTCTTTCTAGGCTGGGGATACAAAAGGGCTTTGTACTGATTTCTGGCCACAGTAACTAGGCCAAGAGGGAAAGCCTACACTCCCACAGACAGACCAACCAGCGACACCCAGATCCGAGGAACACGCCTGCACTTGCCTAACCATTTGTTCAAACTATTAAACTGGGACTGCATCATGGCAAGGTGGCCACCAAACTTCAAAAGGGAATAGAATATAAACATGGGAAGCATGACTATAAAAACTCACTTCAAACAAAGCTAGTCTGTATAATGTGGGTGCTTCTAATCACAAACTCAGTACCCTTGATGTTTTATTACAGTCCTGTCCTTCTGGAAGGACTGTCTGTCTGCCTATACTTTGATTTTTAGCCACCTACACTTAAGAAGCTTTGGGAGGCGATGTCTCGGTTTAAAGATTTACACCCTGCCTGCCAGTCCTGCCTCATCTCTGGCAGAACCCTTCCCTCCTCTGCTTGGCCACACACCTTGCAGTTTCAAAGGGGCCACTGCACATGTACTTCTTCACCTGAAACACCGAGCTCCTTGTTCTTCATCTGCTAAACTTCTGAGCAGCCTTGGAGAATCTGCTGAGGCCCATCTTCTCTGCAGGCCTCTTCGCCTCCTCCCTAATCCTTGCTGCCTCTGCTCCGGCAGCACCCTGGCGTGCCCCACTCACTACCCAGTCCTTCCTACAGGATCCTGAGTTCTTTGAGGACAAGAACCACCCTCATTCATCTCTGTCCACTGCCAAATTCCCAGGCACAGTCAGTGCTCTCAGTGATGTGTGACAGCACAGCCACTATTTGCTGCCACAAAGCAGCTGCAGCTTCTTCTCAAATAAAACAAGGAATATTCTTTGCCAAGATGCCCTTGTGAAGCCTAAACACTGCCATGATTAAATATATACAAACCATTCCAGAAAATTTATCAAGCTCCTAAATACTGCGTTTCCTGTAGATTACAAATTTCCTTTGCTCTAGACAACAGGAGTTTTCCTAAAAAATGTGAACTCTAATCACAATGAAGTACTGAAGAATTCTTTCAAATAGAAGTTACCTTGAGAAATAACTTGGATGGTGGACAACTCTTTAGGTAAAGCAAATAATCTGTCAATTTATTTTAATCGTAAATCCCCAAATGCTCAGACTGGGCTTTTTCAGGGGTTGTGGGGAGATCCCAAGAGGGTTATGGAACTTGGAGGTACAGGCTTTTTTGGTCCAACAGCCTAGGCACCCTGGACAACCCCTCAGGAGTGCCTGGGACACCAATTCTGGTATCTAGTGAAGGCAGTCTACAAGGCAAAAATTTTCATTCCATGCCAAGTTAGGCGTGCTGTGTTTTTCCCTCATGTGAAAAAAAAGATAGAACTCACCAAATTAAAACACGATATGTAAGTTCCTCAAAAAGCTAAACATAGTTATGATTTGACCCAGCAATTCCACTCCTAGGTATAAACCCAAGAAAAATGAAAACGTATGTCTCCACAAGAACTTGTACACGAACGTTCATAGCAGCATTGTCCATAATAGCCAAAAGGTAAAAACCACCCCACTGTCCATCAATTGATGAATGGATAAATGAAATGTAGCGTATCTATACCATAAATTATTATTCAGCAATAAAAAATGAAGAACTGATAGATGCTACATGAATGAACCTTAAAAACACGATGCTGAATGAGAAGCCAGACACAAAAGACCACATATTGTATATGATTCCATTCATGTAAAAGGTGCAGAACAGGCAACTCTTACAGAAACAGAAAAGGAGCCCTAGTGGCACAGCGGTTAAACGCTGAGCTGCTAATCGAAAGGCTGGCAGTTCAAACCTACCCAGCAGTTCTGCAGGAGAAAGATCTGGCAATCTGCTCCCGTAAAACTTACGGCCAAGAAAACCCTATGGGACAGTTCTACTCTGTCACATGGGGTCATTATGAGTTGAAATCGACTTCACAGCACCCAAAAACAACAACATAGAGACAGAGAGCAGATAAGTGGTGTCTAGGGCTGGGAAGTGATATGTAAAGGGCATGGAGTTTCTTTCTGGCGTGATGAGTTGTGGTGATGGCTGCACAACTCTGTGAACATACTAAAAACCACTGAAGTGTACACTCTACATGGGTGAACTGTATGGTATGTCAATCGTATCTCAATAAAACTGTTTACAAACACACACACACACACCCACAATGTAGCGTGAAGTCATATGCTCTTTCAAAGGCAAGGAAAGATTATGATGGAAAGAATCTTAATGGAGCCCTGATCCCAGCTTGTGTGTGACCTCTGGCAGATCATCTCACCTCTGGTTTCAAGTTATACCTCTGAAGAAGGAGCAAGCTGGATTTCAGGATCTCTAAGGCTCCTCTGGAGCCCTGGTGGCGCAGTGCTTAAAAGCATGACTGCCAGCCAAAAGGTCGGCAGTTCAAATCCACCAGCTGCTCCTTGGAAACCCAATGGGGCAGTTCTACTCTGTATGACAGGGTCGCTATGAGCTGGAATCGACTCGACAGCAACAGGTTTGGTTTTTTTGGTTTAAGGCTCCTTCTGGCTGTAACATCATGAACCTGCGACCCAACCCTGACTTACCTGATATAGACCTCTGTTTTACTATTAGCATCTTTGAGATTCTTCTCAATAATTTCAGCAAATCTGGTGGGCGTCATCTGATTGGCTGGAGTCTCCATCAAGTGGCGTGCCAAGTTCTGCCCCGAAGCAAACTGGACTCCTTTCTGCCAGGCCTCCTGGTCCCCACTGACAGGAGAAAGCACAGAGCCGCTGTCAAACAACCTCTCAAGAACACTGACCAGTCCACGGCAATAAGCACCTTTCACCTTATAAAAACAAGAGGAACATCACAATGAGAAAGGATTAACGTATGGGAACTGGGCCCTTTCTTTGTGATCTGACCAGGGCAGCAGACAGTGTGGTACAAAAAGCTGGAAAACTTGACTCCCATCAAGCCACACTTTAGAATGCTCATCTGCTTAGAAAAGGGGTTGGACTGAGGGTTCTTAGAAGCTCTAAAGCCTACCCAATACATTGATGGAAGCGACTTCCTCAGAAAGGCCCATTCTCTTCTCCTTCACAACACCAGGAATGATGCAGCCCAAGGGGCTGACTGTAAGGCGAGCTACTGCAATAATTCTTTTATGGAACTGAAGGCCCTTCTGCCCTCTTTCTGTCAAGGCAGGGCTCTAACCTCCAGCCCACCAGACAGCAAGGATCATCCTTACCACAGCAAGGATGCGGGCATGTGTTTCACTGTGCTAGCTCCTCTGGGACCCAACAGGAATCAACACGGGCAGCACCAAACCAAAACCCACTGCCATCAAGTTGATTATGACTCATAGCAACCCTACAGGACAGAGGAGAACTGCTGCATAGGGTTTCCAAGGAGCAGCTGCTGGATTTGAACTACTGACTTTGTGATGAGCAGTCTTAGCTCTTAACCACTGCGTCACCAGGGCTCCTAGCAACGTAAAAACCAAAAAACCAAAGCCAAACCCATTGTCGTCGAGTTGATTCTGAACTCTTAGTGACCCTACAGGGCACAGGAGAACTGCCCCATAGATTTCCAAGGAGCGCCTGGTGGATCTGAATAGTCAACCTTTTGGTTAGCAGCTGTAACTCTTAACCACTGCACTACCAGGGTTTCCATGGGCAGCAGAGAGATCAGTAAAATCACAGCTAGTACTTCAGAGGGTTTTTCACATGCCACACGTGACATGCTTTAGCTCTCGATCATCGTAAACACCCTACTCAATGAAGAAAATGATGCACAAACCCATCAGTCACTTAACCAGGGTCCCCCAAAGTAAGCAGTGGAGCCGGGATTCCAACCCAGGCTAGCTGGCTGCAGAGCCCTCATTCATAACCACTGGCTCTGCCAAGAGCCCCCCCGCCCCCCAACCATCCGTCACCATACCACCTTCCATAGGTCACACACTGTCTACTCCTGAGATGAGAGACCTAGTCTCCCAGAACCCAGAGCAAGGCTGGGATGTAAAAGGTGCTCAATAAATCTGCTGAAAGACGAGTCTCTGTGACTTGACCACAAGGGCAAGGACCGTCTGTCTTCATCCGTGTCTCTGGCATTCAGCAAAGTGCCAGTAAATGCTGGTCAGAAGGAAACTGTCTGGGCTGAAACCTGTTGGGAACTGTCTGTCGACTAGTTCTCTCCATCTTAGGTAAGTGCCAACCAGTTTATGGCTTTCTAGTAATGAAAAATCATGGAGGGGTCTAGGGAGCTACAGGGAAACATGCATGTGATGAAAGCCAGTGCAGAACTTGGGGACAGCCAGCATACTCTCATATGGCTAAGACAGTGGGGGAGGCCAAAGACAAGCCATGCAGTGATGCCCAACAGTGAAGAGCAGGTACCGTATTTTCGCAAATAATACGCCCACATAAACAGCATGCGCGTGCACACACACACAACACCCATAGTGCAACTAGGAAATTAATGTGTTAGGGGGCTGCACTGTTGGCCAAAAAAAAGGTGTAACGTTCGTGTTATTTGTATAAAAATACGGTAGTTCATATCCAAAAGGCCACATTATCAGAATGTCAGGGAATGCAACCCTGATCTTGGTTTCTTTCCGTCACCTTCCATGGAGCTGTGCTGACACCATCATCTTCTTTTTCTGCTTCAGCTCATCGTATTCGTAGAGACCAAGAATGGCTCCTTCTGCAGCAGCCTGGGCATCTCCACAGGGGTCCACCTCCACGGAAGGGATCTCCAGGTCTTGAACCTGTCTGCAGCCCGCTTCAAGAGGAACAGAGAAACCACAGAACTGAAGTCAGTCAGACAACCAGAGCAGCAGAATGAAGAGGCAGAAGTGGTGGTCTGAAAAAACCACAGGACTTTGGTTCAAATCCCAGCTCTGACCCTTGACCATTCTAAGCATCTATTTCCTCGTCTATAAAATGAGGAAGTTGACTGCACGTCATAGGTTGTGGTGAGGACGGACTGACAGATAAAATGACTAGTCTAGCTCCATCGTTAGAGTAGGCCTCAGTAAGTGGCCCCTATTACTAGCTTTACTTCTGAAACACTATGATTTCCTGATGCAGCTTCCCACTCACCAAGATCTTGCCACATTTAAAATGACAGAGAAATGATGACATTGCAATTATGTCTAAGGAACTGAGCAAGCCCATTATTAACACAGCATTTCATTAAAATCAGGTCAGCAAAAACTCCCGAATAAAAATTATGGTATAATTGCTCAACACGGAATTTGGAACTAAATTTAATAAACATTTGTGACATACACTGAGCCAAAGAGCAACCAAGCTAATTATCACTGCTTCAGAAATGCTTTCCAAAGCTTCTTTTAACCAGAGTCTCCACATCAAAGGTCTCTTCCTGCTGCTCAGCTCTACCCTGACTCAGCTGCAACTACATTTAAACCACTCATGTGGCAAAATGGATGGGCCATTTGTTATGAGTTATTAGCAGGCACCTTACACCTTGCTTCCATTGTCTCAAATGTAAATATGGTGACTCCATGGAATTTAAAAGTTGGACAACACCAAGGTTGTTGTTGTTAGGTGCTGTTGAGTTGCTTCCAACTCACAGCAAGCCTATGTACAACAGAACAAAACACTACCCAGTCCTGCGCCATCCTCACCATCATTGTTATGTCTGAGCCCATTGTTGCAGCCACTGTGTCAATCCATCTCATTGAGGGCCTTCCTCTTTTTCGCTGACCCTCTACAAAAAGGAAAAAATTCACATACCATAACTTTCTAGTAACATACAGCAAAGGCCAATACCACAAGACTAAATGCTAGTAAAACCTCCAAATACAAGATACAGAAACATTAAAAATAAAAAGCCTGTAAGCTAACCTTCTGTATTTATTATAAGGCCAAGCACACTCAGTAAGGGAAATTTAGTATCTGTTGAGATGAGTTAGTTCTGTGTGAATGTGAGAGGGAGGGTGATGGTTAAGAGGGCAAAAAGAGGGAAGAGATCATCTTAAAGAGTGGATCCTTCAGAATCTGTATCAATATTACACGTAAAAAGTAAAGTCACCTGCAACAGCAGCTCTGATGTTTTCTTTGCCTTCGTGCCAGTTTTCCTGGTCATTGACGCCAGCTGCCTTCTTGCCAAGGCCGACAACCACCACGCTAGGGAAGTCCTGTTCCACAAACACACAGAACCAACCACTTTATTTGTTCAAAGCCTTCATTTTCGGAAAAAACCCTGTGTTGGGATGTACATGTGGAGAGACTTACTGAGTTCCCACACAACTACTTTAACCTCAGCTAAACTCACAGTGAAATCTGTTTCTTTTCAGCCCTCACATCTTGGTAAAATTCTATACCCTGTGTGCTTGAAAGGTAGAGTGAGGACAATCCTACAAACAATTCTACTATGTAAGATGGAAACTGAGCAAAGAAAGCCTTCAAACTGAGGAATACCTGAGATGCAGTACTTTTGGACAGTGATTAGCCTCTTCACAATCGAAAATAATATTTAATGCTTAATACCAGGATGAAGCTATACAATCCAATACAAAATGTTCAGCATGACTACGAGGCCACAGCACTTGGCATATTGTAGGCACTCACTGAGGGTTTGTTAGATGAACATTATATCATTGTTTCATACCTGATGCAGACCATGAAAGGTTCGGGTTTTGCCCACCTTCAGAGGGGGCCCAGATCTAAAACAAGAAGGAAGAGTTGTTTTAAAAATTAGTTTGCTCTGCTTGCTTGGGAAATGACACATACGTAACTCTAACGCTATCACGATATGCTGCTAACTGCTTTCTGTGAATTTTCTTCATTTATGTTTTTACCAAATGTTCTCAGGCCAGGTTTCCCAGATGCGGCCCTTCTAAATCTAGCTCAGAAACTATTTAGCAAACTTCCAGATTAGATTTCATGCAAACTTCCTGGTGTCTCCTCCCTGTATCCTTTTTAGTCAGTCTAGGTGTATATATTTCACATTGTTCAGTGGCCTTTGTGAATTCCCTATGTACACAAAGGAATCCGTCACGTTGGGGCCTCAGTTTTCTTATTTGTTAAAAGTGTCAATTTAATGTCATGTGACACTGTCAACAGTCACTCTGTCAATTGCTTTGAGGAGCAAAATTGGGCAGCAGTGGCACAGTGACAAGTCCTTCTTGGGGGCACAGAGCACTCATTTAATGCTCTCATGCTGATGTGTAGATAGATGAACCAGACTTCAGTGTCCAAATTACGTGTAGTCACAACTGCTTATGCCGACACTTCTATTTCTGCCAAATGTGGCCAGCAGTTCAGAAGGACTTGGAAACGCAAATGTTTCATTACCTTTTCTAAACCCTGGCTAATTCAAGAGTGGCCGAAATCTCAAGCCCCACCCAGAATTAATGAATTAAAATCTGTATCTAACCACATCCCCAAGTGATTCACTTGTACATTAGAATCTGAGAAGCCACTGAAACTCAAGACATGCAATGAAAGGACCTCATAGGCTGTTATCAGCTACTCTAGGGACACTGCTGTCTCCTACAATGAAAGGGGAGTTAAAGGAGGTAGAGAAGCTGGTGGGAGGCAAGCTGGTAAGGTCAGAGTGGGGAGAAATGAACTTGAGCCAGGAGGTTGGCCTGCAGAAATCTGGTGCTTTCCAGATCTTTCTGAGTCAGTCCCTCACAACAGGTTTGTGATTTTGTTGGAAGTAGTCTGACTTCCCAGAATTGTCTGACTTCCCAGAATTGTAGAATCGACCATACTGTAACAGAAAATACCAAAACTCATTCCAGTACCAGATACTTTCACTTTCACCAGAAGTTACTGGCCAGGACATCGACTTGCAATTGTATCTACTCAGTAAGACAGAGAAAAACATTCTTTTTCGACTTTGGGTGGGGGGGAGGATCTTAAGAACAGGCACCCACTGGCTGAACACTTACATGGTCAAAAGTTCTCTCAACTTTCCGGACACTGATTTATCAAAACTCTCTCCTGCACTTGTAAACTGTGGCACATCATCTTCTTTTCCTTTGGAATAGATTCCTAAAACAAGGCCCTGAGAACAATCAAAAAGGATGAATATAATTAGAGTAGATCCCTTAAAGGCACCACACTCCCAAAAGAGCAAATAATTCCACCAAAAGGGTGTTATCCGTCAAGGACAGATGAACAAAGCCCAAAAGATGCAGGTGCTGGGTGGTCAGCTACACTCAAGCATCTCAAATTCCTGCCAAAGCTAGACAGTGATTACTACCCGTTCGGGCCTTGTCCTGGGTCTTTGTGGTCACTCCCAAGAAAACAAAGGCTTTCACAACAAAAAGGGCTTTACTTTCAAGTTAAGAAGACCAAAAGGTGTTTTGTTTAGAAAAACAAATTCTTCTGTAACCAAGTTAGAACCTTCAAAAGCATATATTCTCAGATAGCATCCCAGGGAAGCCAATGGCCAGGGAAGCCAATGGTTGCACCTGCCATTTCTAATACGTGCTCTGGTCAAGAGAGAGAGATAGACAGAGAGACAGAGAGAGAGAGAGAGACAGAGAGAGAGAGAGACAGAGAGAGAGAAACAGAGAGAGAGAGACAGAGAGAGACAGAGAGAGCAAGAGAGAGAGAGAGAGAGAGAAAGAGACAGAGAGAGAGGGAGACAGAGAGACAGACAGAGAGAGAGAGAGAGAGACAGAGAGGGAGAGACAGAGAGACAGAGAGTGACGGAGAGACACAGAGACAGAGAGAGACAGAGAGAGAGACAGAGAGGGAGAGAGACAGAGACAGAGAGAGACACAGAGAAAGAGAGAGAAAGACAGAGACAGAGAGAGTGAGAGAGACAGAGAGGGACAGAGAGAGAGACCAAGAGACAGAGAGAGTGAGAAAGACAGAGACAGAGAGAGACAGAGAGACAGAGACAGAGAGAGATACAGAGAGAGACAGAGACAGAGATACAGAAAGACAGAGAGCCAGAGAGAGACAGAGACAGAGAGAGAGACACAGACTGAGAGACAGAGAGGGAGAGACAGAGAGACACAGAGAGACAGAGACAGAGAGAGATACAGAGAGAGAGACACAGAGAGGGAGAGACAGAGAGACAGAGAGTGACAGAGAGACAGAAAGAGAGACAAAGAGACAGAGAGGGAGAGAGAGGGAGAGACAAAGAGACAGAGAGAGAGAGACAGAGAGACACAGAGAGACAGAGACAGAGGGACAGAGAGACACAGAGAGCGAGAGACAGAGAGACAGACAAAGAGACAGAGATCAAGAGACAGAGAGAGACAGAGACAGAAAGAGACAGAGAGAGACACAGAGAGACAGAAAGACAGAGACACAGAGTGAGAGACAGAGACAGAAAGAGACAGAGAGAGAGAAAGAGACACAGAAAGAGTGAGAGACAGAGAGAGACAGAAAGAGACACAGAGACAGAGAGAGAAAAAAAGACAGAGAGACAGAGAGATAAAGAGAGACAGAGAGAGCAAGAGACAGAGACAGAGAGATACAGAAAGACAGAGACAGAGAGACAGAGATCGAGAGACAGAGAGAGACAGAAAGACAGAGACAGAAAGAGACACAGAAAGACAGAGACAGAGAGAGACAGAGAGACAGAGAAAGAGACAGAGAGGGAGAGACAGAGAGAGACAGAGAGACACAGAGAGACACAGAGACAGAGATAGAGCGAGAGACAGAGACAGATACAGAGAGAAAGACAGAGAGACAGAGACAGAGTGACAGAGAGACAGAGAGACAGAGACAGATACAGAGAGAAAGACAGAGAGACAGAGACAGAGTGACAGAGAGACAGAGAGACAGAGACAGAAAAAGACAGAGACAGAGAGAGACACAGAGAAAGAGAAAGACAGAGAGACAGAGAGAGAGACAGAGAGAGAGACAGAGAGGGACAGAGAGAGACAGAGACCTAGAGAGAGCGAGACAGAGAGAGCGAGACAGAGAGAGAGAGAAAGAGAGAGAGAGAGACATACACACAGTGAGAAGTATGCAATTTCACAGCAAGAAGCTGAAGCTGAGTATTCAGCCAAGACTTAGTGGCTCACCCCTTCCTCTCCTTCACAAGCCCCAGGCCCCAAACATCTGAAATATAAGGAAGTGAACCTAGTACAATTTGCTTTTGAAGAAACCAATCACTTCAAAAAAAAAATTTTTTTTTTTTTTTTTTGCCTAATGGCAACTCTGTGACGCAGAAAGAAACTAGTTACAGTTCCACCTGACAGATAAGGAAACTGAAACCGAATCGGACACATTAGCCTCTGTGGAGTAGGATGGAGTGAAATTTTATTCAGATGCCTTCCCTCAAAGACCTTTGTCTTTCCACAAAATCACACTGGTACTTAGATCAACCAGCGTCCTTTCTGTCTTCTCTACAAGGAAAAGTCTTCTTTTCCAGGTTCCAACTTCCCTCAGACCGCCCAATTCCCTAGGATGCCATAGAACCAACTGGGGAACAGAACATGGCTCTTAACTGGGTGGGTCGTTGCACAATATTGGAAAGAGCAGTGAACAGGTGTCTGGCCACCTGTGACGGCCTGAGCTCAAGCCTGATCTATAACATTCTTCCCCAGCCATTTCCTCGGGTCCTCAAACCTAACTCCCAAGCCTCTGCTCTATCCCACTGAAGCAATTCGCCTTTCCCTAATTAATAACTCTGTTCGTAAATTCTTGGGGCTCAATTAGGTGGCCAATGCTATTCTTCCGAAACACAACTCCCCTTTTTATTTCACAAAGAGGTGGGTCTCTTTGCAAAAGCCCTTTTCCCTACAAAGGCATGATTTTTCTCTAGAAACCCTTCCAGGCCCTATGCTCCCCGGAGGTCTTGTTTTCCCGGCCTTTCCCCTTCAGCGAGGGCGTAGGGGGCGGTGTCCAGCCGGCCCTGCCTCCGGTAACTTGAGACCTTAGAAGAGACGTCACTTTACCAATCTTAGGCTTCCTCCCAGCTGGCGGGGAGGGGGGAACCAAGATTAGCACCAGCCTTTCTTGGGTTACTGCGAGGACTACATGACATAATGAAACCAGCGCAGAGCAAAGGGAGAGCTCAGTAAATGGGGGCTGTAGCGATCATTCTCTCTCGCCCAGCGAGTTCGGATCCTGGTGCCCCTCGAAGCGCAAGAAGAAGGGAGCGCACCCTCAGAGAAGAGCCGGCTGGGAATCCCCAGAGGGATACCTGTCACCGCTGCGCCTGGCAGGAGATGGAACTTTGCTTTTTAAGCGATTCTGCAACTTGGCACAGAAGCCGGGGCGCAGCGGCCTCGACCCTCCCCGAGTGCCGGCTCCCGCGGGCAGGGCTCGCCGCGCGGTACCGGATCGAGCTGCCGCCTCTCACCTTCGTCATCTCTGCGGCGGAGAAACTCCGGTTCCAGAAGCGCTTCACGCTCAAGCGCAGGGCAGCTACTCGCCCGACAGCCGGAAGAGGCAGCAAAAAGAACATCTTCTCGGCTCGGCCCCTCGCACCGCCCTCCAACGAGCACGTGGCGCGGGGTGGTGGGGTGGAGGACTGCGAAGCGAGCCCCGGGGGCGGGGCGTGGGGCGGGCGCGCGCACGGGATGGGGCCTTTGCGGTGCGGGCGCGCGTGTGAACGGGCTAGCGCGCGGGGTCGTACCTCATGGGGAGAAGCAGGCAAGCGCCAAGAGCTTGTTGAGCAGGCCCCAGTGGGCGGGGAGCGAACTCGCGCCTGGGCGCGGAGGTTTTGCGGAAAGGCTCGGGCGTGGAGCCAGTAGGCACGCTACTCTGGGGACAGGGCGGTTTCCAGGCTTGAGGGGCGGGCGCGTTGGGGCGGAACTTTTGCAGACGGACACGGGCGTGAAGCGGCTAGGCCTGCGCCTGCGGGGCGGGGCGGATATCAGGGGACGGGACGGCGTGGCCACGCGGAGGGGCGGGTCTCCGGGAAAAGGCGGCCGATGCCTGCGGACTGGGCAGCTCTGAGTTACACGTGCGGCTGTGGTGGAAGCTCATAGGCATGCGGCGTGCTTGTGCGCGGGCGCCCCCGGGGCGCGACGAAGAGGTTGTCCGCGGCGGTGACGGAGAGGTGGTCCCTGGATAATCGCGAGGAAGAGGGTCGGGGCCTAAATTAGGACGTCCCACGAGGGGCGGGGCAGGAGGCGGGGCGAGCTCTGCGAAGCGAGTGTGGGCGGGGCGCGCTTTTTGAGCCAGCGCCTGGATCACGGTGGCCGAGTTCGCCGTGGCTTTGCAACCGAGACTGGGTAGTGAACACACACACTCCCACTGAGTTATTTTTATTCCTGTCCTTATGTTTGAACTTCCGTCTGGTCCAAGAGTACAACCCTGGAAGGCAGATCAATACCGGAAATTGGAAATAAGAAGTTTGCCAATAGTGCTTAATGTTTTAGTATATTTTTCTTTTTTTTAATGGATTTGAAATTTTTCTTTGTAAACAAGAACAAGCAGAATGCAACTCGGAGCACATAGGGAAGTGCGATAAAATACAGCGATACAAAAGTCACCCTTAATATTACACCAGTTAGCTGGATGTTTGATTTTGGAGGAGAGGGTGAGCAAACAAATGAAGTGAGCAAAATTCTCCGCCTTGGTCTCAATGGAATGTCTTCCTCACGCTCCAAAAGGGCTGGATACGGGCAGAGCAGAGGTTTGCTCGTGCTACCTGGAAGGCTTTCACTGCCTCTAGGTTGCTAAAACGCAGACAAATCATAAACTCATAAAGCTCCCCAGCATTAATCTATATTCGCTGTAAACAGAGAGGAATCTTTGTATTCACTTGATAGCTCTTTCCCTCTTCCAACGGGATCAAGCTTCAGTTTCTGCCACTGAAACATGGGGCATTAAAACCTGCCCAGCGCACCTGTGTGTGGGTGGAGTGGGGACGCTGTGAGCATCCCAGATGATGGAGCTGAAAGCGCTCTGCAAGCTGCTGAGCTGTAGGTTACACTTGTCACTGTTCCTGTTGCACTGAGCCCGTTCCCTCAGTGTTACTCCTCTGCTGCTCCTGTCAGGGATAACTTGCTCCCTGGAGCAACTTTATTTACTTTTTTCTTTCTTCAAGAACCACACCATTTACATTTCCACATGCCTAGCCAAATAAGGAAGGAGCCCTGGTGGCGCAGTGGTTAAGAGCTCAGGCTGCTAACCAAAAGGTTGGTAGTTGGAACCTACCCAGTGGCTTCTTTAGAGAAAAGACCTGACGGTCTGCTCCCGTAAAGATTACAGGCTAGAAAACCCTATGAGGGCAGTTCTACTCTGTCATATAACATGGCTAAGCTATGAGTCCAAATCGACTCCACTGCACATAATGACAACAACCAGATAAGGGAGAAATACATTTCAGAGCCGTCCAAGTAACCTTTGTTCTTATTGAACAGTATCATTGACCACTTTGGGATGCAAGATTTAGCATCCATCAAACCCTAAGTTTACATGGGGCATAAAAGAATTTAAAGCAGTGTCCCTGGCCTCAAGGACTTTACTATTTAGTAGAGGTACGATATGTCATGACTGTAAAAAGGTAAAATAAATAAAATTTTTTTTTTAAAAGACAGTACTTTATACAGTTATATGTGTATACGTTCAGTTTCCTTCTGCCCTTTCTTTGCTTGACCAAGTCTGATACCACTTCCTCCAGGAAATCTTTGCAACCTTTTCTGTCTGGGTTATGTGCTCCCAAAGCAACCTGACTCAAAGGGAATGTCAAAGCCTTAATCGGCTCTATCCTCATGATTCCCCCAGACCTCTTGATAGCCAGGGCTCTCATCTCTGGATGTCCAGTGCCTAGATCTAGGGTCTGTACTGTGCCTGGCAAGTAGACAAGGTGCTCATAAAATGTCTGCATGAATGCACGACCAAGGTCAAATGAATGTAGCTTTGATAACTAAAGAACAGGACAGGTGTCACTTGTGGCCTTCAAATAATAAACACAAAAACAAAAGAGGCTTCAACTTAGCCAGCACAATGGGAAGAGATGTTAATGACTGATGGCAACCTGGGATACAGAGGAGTGTGTGGGCAGGAGTTGGCTTGGGTTGGGGCGGAGGGACCATGCCTGCATGGAATAAAAGGTGGTAGTATAAAGAGAGTGATGCTGAATTAAAGAGTCTTGAAAGGCAGGAAGAAAAGTTTGTTGTTGGTGTGGAGTCAATAGAGTCAACAATGTTCTTTGTAGAAGCTGGGGGAGGTAAAAGCTATGTTTTAGTGCGATTGATAGAGATTGGAGATGGAGTGGAGAAAGAATAGGAGCAGTTTAGGGAGAAGTTGTACTTCAGTGGAAAATTAAGCATTATCTGGAGATGCCTCAGGATTATCTGATTCAGATTTTATGGAAGCTCTTTTACAACTCTGTAAACTGCATGTCTTTATGCAAAATGAGTCTTGTTTATAGATAGATATGTGAATTCTGTCCTGTCCAGTAGAGGTTCCATTGCCAGCCCTCCCTTCCCTGTGGAAAAACCGATTGTCTTAGTTATCTAGTGCTGCTATAACAGAAATACCACAAGTGGGTGGTCTTAACAAAGAGAAATTTGTTCTCTTGCTGTTCAGCAGGCTCGAAGTCCGAATTCAAAGTGCCAGTTCCAAGGGAAGGCTCTCTCTCTCTGTCAGCTCTGGAGGAAGGTCCTTGCCATCAATCTTCCCTTGGTCTAGGAGCTTCTCTGTGCAGGGACCCCAGGTCCAAAGGACGCGCTCTACTCCTGGCACTACTTTCCTGGTGGTATGAAGTCCCCCTGTCTCTCTGCTTGCTTCTCTCTTTTACATCTCAAAAGAGATTGATTTAAGACACAACCTAATCTTGTAAATTGAGTCCTGCCTCATTAACATAACTGCTTCTAATCCTACCTCATTAACATCACAGAGGCAGAATTTACAACATATAGGAAAATCACATCAGATGACAAAATGGTGGACAATCACACATTACTGGGAATCATGGCCTAGCCAAGTTGACAGATATTTTGGAGGGACATAGTTCAATCCATGACAATGGTCTTGTCTCCATTTGCACATTCATTTCAATATTCCTGATCTATAAATGTGTCTGTTCTTAGAATTCTCTTTGGAACCAGTTATACCATCTACCTGGTCTGTCCCCCTTACAAGTTAACTAAAATCTTTAACACGTGTTTGTTTTTATATCTGTATGAGAGTCATGATTTTAACTTTATTTGAAAATTATCTTTTAACAGCAGGTAGAATTTCTGGAGCATGAGTTATTGATGAAACTTGATAGATGACTCCATTTTTGAGAAAGGAAAGGCAAAATCAGCCAGATACAGGCGTATGAATGTGGAAAACAAACACCAGTTCCCTATTTAGGACACTAAAACACTCCCTGTTTAGGAAGGGAGAAGCTGTAAAGGTGAGATATTTGGGGGCACAGAGATGATGGGGACTTTAGTCTTAAATGTTAACATCAACATAACAATGGACATTGAAGGGGAAAGCGAAGGGAAAAAATCCAGCAGGAGCTTGAGGTGAAAATGAAACTTTCACAGGATGAGAGTTCAGTAGTGTTAAAAAATATTAAGCCAACAATAGAAATTGATTGAAGTTTATTTAATATACAATTTGCAAATTGGGGCAACATTTCTGACTAAACCAAACCTGTTACTGTTGAGTCGATTCCAACTCATAGCAACCATATAGGACAGAGCAGAACTGCCCCATAGGGTTTCCAAGGAGTGGCTGGTGATTTTGAACTGCCAACCTTTTGGTTAGCAGCTGTAGCACTTAACCACTACGCCACCAGGACTCCACATCTCTGACTAAAGAGTCAAAATGTTCCAAAGAAGAAAAATCTTTCATAGATTCTTATACTCCAGATTATCACTAGTGATTATACATTGCCATGGAAACAGGGCCAGAATAGCGTTTACATAACTTGTGGACAGACAACATTTTCTTTTTGTTTATTTATTTTTTTATTGTACTTTAGATGAAGGTTTACAGAACAAACTAGCTTCTCATTAAACAATTAGTATACATACTGTTTTGTGACGTTGGTTACCAACCCCACAACGTGTCAACACTCTCCCCTTCTCAACCTAGGGTTCCCCATTACCAGTTTCCCTGTCCCCTCCTGCCTTCTAGTCCTTGCCCCTGGGCTGGTATGCCCCTTTAGTCTCATTTTGTTTTATAGGCCTTCATCAAAGTTACTACTTATCTATTTTCTATTTAACGTTTTTCCATTGTCACCCCTCCCCTTCCTCATAGCCATCAAAGATTGTTTCTTTTTGTGTGTAAACCTTTGGCTAAAGGGTGAACCTCAGGAGTGACTTCCTTACTGAGCTAAAAGGGTGTCCGGGGGCCATGCTCTTGGGGTTTCTCCAGTCCATTCTCTGTCCGACCAGTAAGTCTGGTCTTTCGTCAGGTCTCTCCGGGACCCGCTGTTGTGATCCCTGTCAGAGCAGTCGGTGGTGGTACCTGGGCACCATCTAGTTGTGCTGGACTCAGTCTGGTGGAGGCTGTAGTACTTGTGGTCCATCAGTCATTTGAACTAATCTTTCCTTGTGTCTTT